TAGATGCATAATGTTATAAATTTCGTGTGATGTTATTATGTAGGTTTTTTATTAATTAGTGTAAACACGTGATCAAACACTTTTGTCCAGGTAGTGTATATTGATGGATGAGGAATTTGAACTTGTTGCTGAATTAAATGACTGGGTGAAAAAGGTTTCTACAGTTTCAGGAAAAAATATAAAAATTCAATCACACAATAAATTTAAACAACAAGACTTATTTATTGGTTTTGATTCCAATGAAACCATACAAAGTTTGATTATAAATATAAAAAGAAAATATCCAGATGATGACAATGAAGAAATACTTGAAAAATGCAAAGAATGTCTTGTTGCTATAGCAACTTCGGATGGTATGGTTAGATCTGAAAATTCTTTATTAAAACATGAAGAGATACTTAAATGGAAAGAATATTATTTTAAAATACAACATCATGATAGTCTTTTTGACTATTTTAATGCATTATTGAAACAAAATGATCCATATATGCCAGAAGCAGAAGGAAAACAAGTTATTGTTAATACATTTTCAAACATTAATACTGATATAGAAGCTTGTCTGTCAAATAAGATCAGTTGTCAAGTAGATAAACTTTCAACATTTAAATCTGAAACACAATTTCAAAATAGAATCAAACATTTTTGGCAGGAATCTGATAAACAAATGTTAATTCTTCAATGCGATATAACAACTGTCAATGTGGGATGTATTAAATTAGCTAAATTTGTTATTGAACAATTACGTGGAGAATTTTTAATTAAAAGACGCAATAGCAATAAAAAAATTCCAATGAAACATGCATGCATAATTTTACATATTCACCGTGAACAAGAAACACCTTTTGTTTCATTTAATTTCATGTGTGGATGGGAGCAAATTACCATTGAAACATTACAAGTCCAAGATAAACCTTTATCCAGCCTTTTGGAAAAATCTATGGCTGATATTATCAATACTACGTATCCATTTGAAGATATCCTGAAACAAGAATTGTTATGGTGTTTATCATGCATGAAATATCCACATTCACAAAAATCATTGGATCATATTAGGTGTGTATATATTTATTTATTTATTTATTTATTTAAAAATTATAATAGCAATATATTTATTTTAGTAATTGATTTTTTAAATAATAATGTGTGTTTATTCTAGGGTTCTGATTACACAGATTCCAAATAATAAAAATCTGATCACATGTTTAAAAGACAGAACACAAGAATGGTTGGAAACAAGTTCTGAACCAAATTGGCAAAATAAAGTTGCATCAGACAAAAAACTTTTATACCCATATTCTTCATTTTCAGGCGCATTACAAGCATATTTACGTATCTTTATTCGAAAACCAATTGCAAAGCTTTTATGTGCAATTGAAAGGTTATCAGCAACCAGAACCTTGCTTTTGATTGATAGACCACGAAAAATAGAAGAAGTAGAACAATCTCATAAATTACTTGAATTCTGGATAGAGTGTTTTATGGATCCAAAAATTGTAAACACAGAAGATATACCAGATCCTAAACCAGATGTATATACTATGCCTGCCAATAATTATGACCTTGAATTCCCATTTTCACTTTATTTTATGAAAAGAATTGATTCATTTAAACGGCTATTTGAAGATGAAATAAATCAGCATAAGGAAAACGAGGGAAATATTGATGAACAAACTGGTGAACTTTACCAACATTTCTTTAATGATTATACAAAAGGATTTTCAACTACTGTTATAAATTCTATACCATCATTCAAAAAACCATCACTGAATTTATTTGCGGATCTGTACTTTAATGATTTTGTTGCAGTGGTTTCATCTAATGATTCTGCTGGTAACAGAAATCCAAAAGTTTTATCATTTTTACTTCAAAGACTTATGGGAGAAGAAAAATTTTTAGATCCAGTATTCTTACATGCATATTGGTGGAGAAATTCAAATACTGTTTTAGCTGAATTTCAATTAACTCAAATATGTCCAATGGTTATTAGTAAGATAACAGCTTGTAATAATTCAGAATCTTTTGAACATTCCCTAGTTAGAGAGATTGCAGGAATAATGTTACAGAATATTAGTGAATCACGAAATTTAACATACAATTCATATATGTTTGAACAGTGGCAACGTGATGTTACAAAAATTTTATCATTTGGAGCAAAAGTTTTGAAAGGTCAACCATTGCCTTCACTTCAAATATTACGTATTTGTAATGATTTTATATCAACAAAAGCCATTCCATTAGCTAATGTCAAAGAAATAATTACAATTGGAAAAAATTCAAGCCAAAAAGAAATGCTTTCGGCTGAGTTTATTAATAAAGTATTTGATATTCTTTATAAAATGGAACCAAATGAAAAGAACCTTATTTCAAGAAGATCATTTATTCTTAGATGTCTTGATATTGTTGATCTTGAATCTAAACTTAGACTGCAATTATATGGTAAAATTTTCAGCCAAAGACCATTTCCACTTATGAGTGCAATAATACAACGTATATTCTTGCAAGAAGATGAAGATGAAGATGAAAGTATTTTTTTGACTATTTTAGAAAATCCAGGTTTGGCTATCCGTGATTCAGCAAGATTAAATGTAATAAATACTTGTCTTAAAAATCAAGGACTTGATTCTATGATGTCAACATTATGCTGTGATGTTATTCAAACATTATTTGAAACATTTGAATTATCAGATTTAGCAAATTATTTTGGATTTGCAGCTAAAGCTATAACTAATCTTGGAACAGAAGCATTACAAAAAATAACTGCAATTGCTTTTCTTAAAGTATTTGTTGAAGGATTCTGGAATGAATGTATTCAAAGACACAATTATCAGCAACCAATAGTTTTCGATCTAATGGAAACTGATGGAGCAGTTTTAATTAAAGAAATTAATGATTTTATGAGCATACCAAATCCATTAATCCATTCATTAAAAATATATTTTCTAAGAATTTTACGTAATCGGCACAATCTTCCACTCAATGACGTAAAACAATTTTGTAATAGACAAAATAGAACACTTCCATGGCTTGCAAGTATTGCATGGGAAGACAATTCTCAAAATAGACTTTCATTTAATCCTTACTGGGCCTTAGATATGTATGCAGAAGCTGATAAAGGATTTTCTAGTTTATACTCACTTAAAAATAAAGCACCAATTAAGATCTTCCTACAATCTGTACAAAAAAACGAATCAATGGGACATAGAATTGCATTTGGTGGAGTAGTTGTACAACGTATACATTTAGTCCATGCATCAAATGAATGGTCTCTTGATTATGATAATGCCAGTAAAGATCTTAGAACTGAAATTAATGGAATGAAAACGCTTACACCACTTTATAGACAAATAATTGACAATATTATACAAAATAAACAGCCATTACTTCAACTAAACATTAGGACAACAAATGAAACTTTGTTGATTAAATCTGTAATTGGACATATTGTAATCTTACATTCATCAATTCCTGCAGACTCATCACCATTAACTATTTATTTAAATAATCTACAAAACTGCCATACACATTATATTTTAACAGCACAAGCTGATAATGAATCAGTCATCATGAATGCTTTAACATCTACTACTGGTGAACAATTAACAAGGTAAAAATTAGATTTATTTATTTTGCATTATGGTGATGATGATAATGATGATAATAAATAATTTTTTAAATAATTTTAGATATTCATGTCAGTGTGGTTATAAATATGTTATAGCAAACTGTGGTCAAGCAATGGAAGCAAGAAAATGTCCACAGTGTAGCAATACAATAGGAGGTGGATCACATAAATCAGCTGCTGGTAATCAAAAATTGGATCATGCGCCTCAGAGAAATATGACAGTTGTGAACCAACCTGGTTATGTTGAAGATCTAGTTGAACCTGGAATTGGTCATACAGTCCGTGCTATGCCACCAAATGCATATCGCATCTTACATTTAATTGTTCATGCATTGATTGGTTCTTCAAATCATGCTAAAAACTTCTTAAAAATTAATGGTAATGCTGAAGAATATTGCCTTAAACATATACAAAATGACTGGAATGCACTTAAAAGAATTTTCAATTGCAATGATGAAAATTTAGCACTATTGTTACATTCAATTCTAACAGAAATGTCAAAAAAACTTTTTACTGGTAGTCCATCAATAATTACAGACCCTGCTCAACGGGATGCATGGGAATTACGGTTTGTTAATGAATATGTTGAGCCACAAACAAAAAGCTTCAATGAATCTATTACAAATTTCCGTAGAAAATTAGATGCAGAATTAAAAAAAGCAAATGGAAATACTAACATAATTGAATCTGAAATTAATCAGACTATAGATATGGATGATAATTATAAAGTTGAATATTTACCAAATCTTTGGAGAACAATAGGAGCTATAAGTTTTGAAAGTTTCAGAGCATATTACATTGCTGATCAAACCAATAACAATAAAACATATCCATTTCTTTCAATATTTTTTAAACATTCTGAAAAGTTGACACAGATTAAACATCTTTTTCCCATTATTAAATTTGCTGAGATATTGGCATCAAGACTTGAGTATAGAATCAATAGAAAAGATGCTCATAATAAATCATTTCAAGAATTTATAAACGATGAATCAAATGGAGGAATAGTTAAAGAGACACATGAAACATTAGCTAAGGCATTTGGTGAATTTTCAGAAGCATGGAATGCAGTGCATGATCAAGTCAAAAGATATCAATGTAGTGAGTTTAAATCAGTTATTCCTAAGGTGACTTTAGATAGCCCAATTGCTTTTGGATTAGTTGAAGAAAAAGATACAGGGATATTTATTTGTGCAATTATAAATTACCTTGTGGGATTACAAAATAATTTCTTGCTAGAAATCACAACAATTCCAAATGGGTCTTGTAAATCATTAAAATTTTTAGAAGAACCATCTCAAGTTGATGCTGAATCAACATCTGGTAATGGTGGTAGTAGTAGTAGTTCAACTCAAGCCAATAATTCAAAGATATCTAATCAATATTATCTACGATTATCAAGAGCAAACCAATTAATAAAATCAAACGTAATTGATTATGAATGGGATGAAGATATTCTTCAATATAGTCAAAGAATCCTTGCTATTGGACGTGGTGATGATGTTATTTATGACTTGCAAAAGATTGAACTTGAACTTGCACGTTGGTTGGTATTTGATAAAGCATATATTGAAACTGTACAAGATTTACCATTATATTTAGAACCATTTTCATACCATATGGAATTGTTCCAAGGATATTTGAGAATTCTCAGTGACATTAAAAATATAATTCCACAAGAACCTATTCCTACTGAAAAAATATTATTGATTAGAGGAGAAGCAGGAAACATAAATAATAATATATTTGTATCATCAACACAATATACAAATAATTATGTTTTAGATGATGCAAGTGACATTTTATCATCACTAGAAGTACTTTTATGTTTCGTTAAGCGCAATGCAGTAGGGCAGGAAGACACATTAATACAAGATTATGTGGCACAATGGATGAAGTTATCATCATTGACGACAAAACCTACATTTGCAAATTTATTAAATGCAGGTCTAACCTTAAAGCATGTAGTAGCATTATATGAATTTGTAGAAGAACAGGTGGCCAACAGAGTGATTGAGTATATTAATGATGTTTATAAAGAAAGATTGACATCAGAACAAGAGAATGAAATTACAGATGTAGTTGATTTTACTAATAATCAACAACAACCAACATTGACAGCTAAGAAAACACCAAAGAAAATACCAGCAGATGCACTTATTGTAGCATTGAAAAGATTTATGTTGAGATTTTTGTCAGTAGAATCAAAAGATTACTCAAAACATCCATTGAGTGTTTATTTAACAGATATAGATTTGAATTTCTGGTCTTCAGAAATTGATGAAGCAGTAATTGATTTATTTCCAGAAACATTATTGGCTTCACACACATTTGAAATATATAGATTTTGTGTAAGTCAAATTGAAGATGCTATTAGAAAACAAATACATGAATCAAAAATAAAACCAACTGGACAAAGTAGTAATACAACTGGACAAAGTAGTAATACAACAAGAAGCAAAAAGGGTAAAAAACCAGGAAAAACAGGACACAGATTTGATATTACGTAGACAAGAACATTTATATTATTATTATTTACACTTTCTATTATATTTTTTTAGTTACTTTTTATATAGTTATAACGTGTAAAAATTAAAGTTTTTTTTCAAAATAAAAATTTTTTTTAAAAAAAAAATTAAAATTGTTCTAATACTCTAATACTGCAAGAATCCAAGATAAAAAATAAACTATTACTATATCTATTATATTAAAAACGTTGCGTTCACGTGTCCTAACGTTTAGAATGGCGCCCACGCATAAATAAACGTAACGTTTAGGCTGCCACGCATAAATAATTTTTTTGAATTGTTCAATAACGCAAACGTGTGCCACAATCTATCCGTTATTGTATCGTTGGGTTATGTTTAGACTACCACAAGCACGCGAATAAATATGTTGTGATGCGTAACGTTTTAGACCACCACATGAAATCTATCTATTATTGTATCGTTGGGTTACGTTTAGACTACCACAAGCACGTAAATAAATATGTTGTGATGCGTAACTTTTAGACTACCGCATGTAAATGATTTTTAATTGTGATCCAATAAAAAATTCCACAATAAAATATTATATTTTTCATTAGTATTAATTTTTGATTATTCTCTAACTTTGATAATGTGACATTTTGTAGTCATGAAATCAAATTTAACAAAATTATGTCAATCAAAACTGTTATTTTTTTAAATCTATACATATTTATAATAAACGCAACTATAACTTATTAATGCTATGAATTTACAGTATTAAATAATTTCGAATAAAAAAAAAAATTTACAAGATTATTTATAGTGTGCTCTAGATGTAAACTGTCAGCGAAGCTGACAGGTTACACCTAGTAATATATAAATTTTTCTAATAAGCAGTGTAACAGTACTGCATTGTTAAAAAAAAAAAGTGACAATCAATATCTTTAGATTGCCTATGATGATTTAAAAAACAGATGTGGATTTATACAAAACTACTTGGATAAATGTATAACTACTTTATTAAATAATAAGTGTTTAGTCAAGATCTACAAAGCTTGCAAAAATTCATAATAGGTAAAATATGTTTATTTTATTATTAGTTACAAGAAGGTTATTAATCAATAGTTATATGATTATTAATTGTTTATTCTAAGATTGTTATTTAACTCAAGAAATTTCTGAAGGTTTAAATACTTCTTAGAGTATTACAGATAATGTGATTTGTGCTATTCTACAATGCTATGCTATTAATATACAATAATAATAATAAAAGCACATCAGCTTGTGGCAAAAAGTGTAATGCAACTTTTTGCATAGCAGCAATTTTTATTTGCACTGTCAATCATTACAAGATTCATTCACAGATTGGCATTAAATCATTTCTATTTATGGATTAACTAATCAAAAATTTTTATTTTCTAAAAAAACTAATTACGCAAATACAATAATCTAAAAATTCTTCTATCCTACTCCATTCTTTTACATGTTCATTCAATATTAATTTTAAACAGTTGCCAAGACTCAATTCCATTCTACTACCATTGCTAGCATCATCATCATCACCATTATCATTTTCAACTATAATATCACCATATATTTTTAGAAAATGATTAAGATAAGCTTGAATTAGTTCAAAATCTTTTTTGGATTTAAGATGATTTTCTAAAGCTATCAAAAAAATTCTTATATTAATAAAGTTGTTGTCAAGACTTAGTGATCTAAGTTCAAAATCAATTGCAGACGGATTTAAGGTTTTTATGTGATTGAAAAAATTTGTATCTAATAAAAAAGTTTTCAATATACAGATTACAATAAATAAATGATAATTAAAAGATTTAAAAAATATAAATGAAAACTTACAATCTCTCAATTCATGACATCTTTTTAATGTTAGTACAAATTCAGTTTCCACTTTGATATCACTTGATTTTATTAATTTACCATTGCTTTTGGCTTCTTTGAATAATGCTTCATTAGAATTGGGTGTAATCACAAATTTTGGTTCCACACCTGGTAATGTTGGCAGGAAAAATGGTGCCTTTTCTGGTTTTTTAGGTGGTTCTTTGGGTTTATTATGTTTCTAATAACAATAAAAACTATTATTATTATCATTGAATTGGAGGTCTTTTACTCATGAATTATTCTAAAATTATTCTTTATTTAATCACCTTTATTGTTTCAAGGTTCAACAAATTTTGCCATTTTGACTTTGGGAGTGATGATAATGTGATCATATTCTGTGTAATTTGTTCTGGTGTCTCAAATGATTCTTTTGTTGCTAATGTAGTATTATGATTTATATCTGTATCTTTTTTAACAATAACAAAAGTAATATGATTTAATAATAACAATAACAATAATTTGATTTTTAAAAAGTCATATTATCTACACAATTTTATTTAACAAATAATAACTACCTTCTTCTTCACTATCAATTCCAGCAGTAGTTGGAAGTGGTGTAAAATAATTATCAACTTGTTCCATTTCATCATTTACTTTGTTTAAAGTAACATTTTGAAACATAGTCCGGTTTGCCCTGTACAATAGATATTTAAGTAATTAAATAAATGTTAATTGGTTTTTTGTTGTTTCAAGTATTCAATAAAATTGATTTATCTTAATACCATAAAAATATTCCAACATTGTTTACATGTGATGTTGCCAAAAAATCTCCTGAAGGAGAAAATGTTAAACTTGTTGCAATATCATTCACTCTAAATATGTCAATCAAATGACCTGTAGGTAAATCCCAAGTACGTATTGTAGCATCAAGGGATGTTGATACTATCCATCTTCCATCAGGGCTAAATGTCTATTAAAATTATTCCATTATAATTAATTTTTGTTTGTATATTAAAAATAGGCTGGGAAAGTTTTTTACCAAATCAGTAATTCGATTTCTATGACCCCAGAACTCTCTCACTATCTTATGGGTATCAATATCTATCACTCGAATACATAAATCATCACTACTAATTGCCAACAATTCATTTTTCTTATGGAATCTAAGTAGAGTTATGGGTGATTGTACATCAATAGTATCTAAAATTTTGGCTGTATTAAAATCCCAAATCTTTTTGGAAAAAAAATTTACAGCAAATAAACATTTAGTTGATAAAAATTTGATCTGGTTTTAATTAGCCAATTTAATAAATAATACCTTAACACTCCCATCAAGAGAACTGCTTAATAAAATTCTATTAAGAAGATCACATGATAACCCAGTGATAGATTTTGTATGTCCTATATATAAATAACTGAAAGGTTAAAAATAGAATCAATATATGTAATTGTTGATCTAACTAATAAAAGCAAACATACCTTCCATTCCTTCAAATTTTCTTCTGGAGATGCCTGATTGCATATTAAACATTTCGATTTTTGCAGCAGCCGTACCAATAAATCCAAAATTTCCACATGAGCTAATAGTTGAAACCTGAATGAATCAATAAGATTTAATTTAAAATTATATTAAAAATTATTATATCATTTATGTATTTATTTAATTTTAATATAATCATATAATTTTTACCTTTATTATTTCTGAACTTTTAATAATATGTTTACCTATGACCTTATTTTGGAAGGACCATGTATAAGCTTTCGGATGATTAATATGACATGTAATGATATGGTCCCATTCTTTTTGCTTAGCTTCACCTATTTTAATAAATGATTAAAATTGTAAGCCATGTAAACTGTCATTAAAAAAAATTGATTGATATATAATTACATGCAGAAAAATCAATTATTTGAGGTAATTTCAGATTATCAATATTTGTTTTTTGTTGCTTAGATTTTTTCAGGAGAGAACCTAGAATAAAATAAATAAATTTTATTATTTTATTATTTGAAAAATTTTTGTAAATTGAATTTTTTAACACTTAAAAAAACCTTGTGATAATTCTACACTTTGTTCATCACGTTGTATTGAAAATGTCCTCAAGGATTTGTCACTACCCGCACTAAGAATAAATTGACCTCTGGAATCATAATATTGAATTTTAGTTGGTGGTGCATGATGACCACTTCTGGATTTTAAAAGTCTTGGAATAATTCCTTCAATCTCGTCAAATATCCATTGCTTAAATTACAAAAGGTAAAATAATATTTTGATTAAATCTATTCCTGGACTTTCCTAACTTAGTTAGTCATACACACATACTTTTATTGAATTATCAGAACCTGATGTAATTAATAAAGGCTGCCCATTAAGAAATTTTATTGAAGGTATTAATCCATCATGTGCACCTTTCATTACATGTGACAATCTTTTATTATCAAGATCCCATAAGAAAATATCACCACACATATTTGCAGTAGCCATGAAATGTTGATAGTCTTTTAAGTTCAATAACAAAATTTTTGTTAACATATAATGTCTAACAACTAAATACAAAAGAAAAGCCTTCGATTCACCTGTTCTAAATGAAATTGCAGTAACTTGCTCTTCTTGTTTAAAAGATATTATCAATTCATCAGCTCTTATATTATATAATTTTATCATTCCATTAAGCAAACCAACAGCAATAACATCAACAACTGGTGATTGAATTAGATATGTGATTGGTGATTCAAATGAAGCAAATGAATAAACTAACTTACTATCAGGAAAATTTAAGAATTAATCAAGATAGAAAATGTCAATTTTCATTTCAATTTCTTTTTTTTTTAAAAAAATCAATTATATATTAAAATCATATACTTTTTATGAATGTTCCAAATTTGCATTGTTCCTTGTTTACTGCCAAGTAATATTTTATTTAAATAAGTACTGGGATGAATAAGTGTTGATATAACAAAATTTTCATCAAATTGAATTACAGATTCCAATTCTAAAAATTTATATGTAGACAATTAATTTCAAAAAATAAATTAAATATAAATATCATTACTAATTTACCTCCAGACTCATGATCATATAAAGTTACAGAATTATCATCACTTAATGCAATAAGGTGAATTCCTAGCAAAGTCAATGAAAATATAGTTCCTTTGCATTTTTTTTTGAATTGCATACTCTAAAAGATCGTAAATTAGGTTGATTTTGATATTTGAGATAAATTAATTTTCAATAGTAAATTAAGTGACTTACTACTTTTCCACGATTAAACATTATTATATCTTGTGAACAAGCTACAAATGTGTTTTCTTTGAAAGAAGCCAATGCTGTAATTGGTTTCTCTGTTAATGAGCCTAATAAAGAGTATATTATTATTACTTAAACATTAAAGTAAAAAGTGGTATTATATGAATTTCTTCTTACCAACAATTTTTAATGTGAGTTTTGAACACTTATTTTCAAAGAAAATAACATTGAGCTGGTTAATAATAATCAATAGTGAAAAAAAATTACAATTTATAAATATAAAAAAATTTTAACATACATCATATACATGAAAACTATTTCCAACACATGCAGTTAAGAAATAAGCATGTCCCAATGCTTGGAGATCAAAAGGTATATCATTAGTAACATACCCTATAGCACGAAAAGGTTGAAAAATTCGGTTACAATATTGAGCTTTCGGATTATCACTGTTTAATTCTTTAGTTTTTCTTTTCTTAATCATCTTTATCATAAAATATTTGCCAAAAAAAAATTAGATTTTGATGATGATTTGCCGCGTCACGATCTCCTTCCAAAACTCGTAAGTCGTGCGACTTTCGTGCAGGTTTTTTGCCGATTGTCTCTTTTTACGTCTAGCTGTGCCTGGTTTTTTCGGTTTTTGACACGATCAACGTTTCACCATATTTAGCAAAAAATTTGTTGTTCGGCAAATGTTTATAATAAAATATTGCTTTGCAACTTTGCAATGCTTTGAATTGAATTGCAAAGCGAAGCGATGAAAGCAATTGCAACCAATGATCAGGAAAAATCTTTGTTTTTCAAATCTAATTTTTTTAGGAAAGAAATTTTTGCTTTCTTTTTTTTTTATTTTCTGAAAAAAATTGATTGCGAAAAAAAAAATTACAAATATCGGGCGGGGTTGTGAAAGTAAAAAATAATAAAAATTATTCAGCGTCACAATTCTCATCACCTTTGTCATTCATTATTATCATCATCGTTGATGATCAATGTAAATACCTTTTTTCCACGTGATAAACATTTGGTACAGTGCGTAACATCATAAGCCATCAAATTACTGCGCCCATGTATCAAATTCAAGAAATTTTTTTAATTATTTTCATTACAAAAATACAGTTAAAAAAATAAATCACGTGATAAAGGATTTTTACTCATTATTTCTATCAATTTCTTC